CTCAACACCGCTCTGCGATAGCTTTGAGGATGTCGCGGCTTTTCGGTGCGAGACAGCATATTAGAGGCTGGCACTGGGTCTGAGTCGCTGCCTTTCAAGCCTGAGCACCTGGCCAGCCATTTGGCCCCGATAGTGGGCTGCCATTTTCCAGAGCAAGTGTGGCTGTTCTGTGGTTTCCATTGTTTACATGCTTGAGAACTCCGGCTTTTATTCCCTGGTTCCTTGCCCGCCTCACACCAGTCTTTCAGGTCTCGTCTTTGGCCGAGAGCATCTCGGGAATCTCCAGTCACATCTCGCTGGTCCCAGCCACGTGGCTGGCCTGGGCTCCTGCCTGTGCCAGTTTGATGTGTGCCCCATGCACAGGCTGCCCCTTACCCAGAGGATTTGTGCAAACAAAGGAGGGACCCAGCTCTGGGTGCGACCCAGGGGGAGGCTGCGCTCAGACACCCTGTCCTGATGCCAATCACCCGCCTTTGATCCGGCTGCCTTTCAACTACAGCTTCCATCTTCTCCCTGTCTCCTTGCAGGCTCCAAAGGAAGCCCTGTGCAGATGCCAGGGCACATGATAGGAAGTGCCACATCCAAGCAGATCACAAATCTCAAGCCCTGGCCAGGATTTTCAAGAGGTAATTGAGGGTGTTTGCATTTTGCACTAGCAAAATCAGTACCGGTTTGTGCAGTAAGTCCATGGCTGCACTGCTGCCTAGTCTGGACGTGCCAATAGTCCTCGCTGAGAGCAAGCACAGCCTTTGGAGAGACAATACAAATCTGAGACCTGAACCTCATCCCTGTCAGCCCCAGAAAACTGGGGTTTACTTTGCTAGCCCAAAACAAAGTAAGAAATTCAGTCACTGGAAACCAATGCCAATCTCTTGACTTCAGTGATCTATTAGAGATGGGTGAAGCTGCCTTCACAGCCCTTGCAGACCTTCCTGCTAAGGCAGGAAGTTTCTTCTAAGTGTATTTTCTATACATCAGTACTAGAAATGTCAGCAGTTGACAGTTATTTTCATCTTACTCATTACAAGAATTAACTGAGATTTCCATGGGCAGGTTATCTTCATGGTCTGGGATTAATTTTACTTTGGTTTTTAGTTAGTAGGTTTTAAATAGTTGCTTTTCAATTTGTCCCCTCGATCCACATCAGGCTGGATATCAAACTCACAAGCATTTGGGAGACATTATTAGCCTAACCAGAATCCAGATTTGACTCCAAACAGAGGCAGCTTTTTTATTTACTTTGAAATGCACAGCTGAAGCCCAGACTCATGTCTGGGTTTGGATCCAGGTATCTCATAGAGCATCAAAGTATAGAGGTCCCCCCTGCTCCATCTAACTCCCCAAACTAGTCCAAAAGAGTGCATTCCTGGGCAGCCTGTTTCTAGGAACAGTATCAGTATATGAGCCTTGTAACTCATTAATGCTAATAGCAGTTGCATAATGCACAGCTGAAATGTGATTGTACAGCGAGCTAAGAACATATCCCAGCTACACGACTGCCTGGCAAAGTTTCTGATGAGCAGCTTTCCTCACCATTACAGCTGGATTTACCTTTGATTAGAAATGCTCTGGAGGGGCCACATTTCAAGGTATCACAAAGTCATGCCACTAACAGTAGCATAATCCTCTGCCTAAATGCTGCACACGTGGCCACAGTCTGGAAGGAGGCATGAGCTCACCTTGTCGTTGCGCTCTCTGTGCAAAACCTCAGGAGCAAAACCTCAGGAGTTGTCCAGAAGGGTCACTCAGTGCACCTAACTGACAGGGAGCTCAAGCAACAGAGATGGCACGTTGTCCTCGAGCCCTCGGGATTTCAGTGGAAATCTCCACCTTCCCAGGCACTGCTAAGCCTGGTGTGCTGCACACAAGCGCACAACTGAGTTCTTTCATATTCTGCAGATTTGGTGGGTTCCCATGACCCAGTGAGGCTGTCTCACCCCGTGCCTTGCTAAGAGAACATTAACTATGCCCTCCTCAAGGCCCTGTTTCTCTTCTGCCATAGTCTCATTTTAATGCCCTTGACTGTCTTTGGATAAAAAAGCTTTGGACCATCCAAGACCAGTTGTGTCCTAGGCTTTGAAGAGTGTTGAAGGTTGCTCCCTCCCAACTACTGTGTCTGCTGCAGTGCCACTTCCATCTGGGAATGTGTCCTGCTTGTGGCTGAGTGAAATGAATGATGGGGCTGAATTATGAAGACCTGAGGCTATAGGAGGATGAAAAGTGCTGCTGCAACTTTGAAACAATGGAAAATATGAAATAAACTTCAATTCCCTGCTGGCACATATAGGCAGAGTAAATAAATCCCATAACTATGTAAGTAACAGACAGCTCCCAGGAGCTGGAGCACCCTCTGGAATAGCAGGCAGAGGAGTCTGCTACTCTGCAATAGAGGGATCATGCTTGGCTAAATTATGCAATTCATTTAAAAGCATGCTGTACAGTAACATAATTTTTGAAAACCATATTATTTGGCCCACCAAAGTGATTCCCAGAAGTAATTCCTGCGAGGAGCACACACCCAAGCCAGTCAGAATTTCTGGAATGACATTCCAGTTGCTCAACACCTGGTTATGCAGATAGAAGAGAAAACAGAGCGACGCCTTAGCCAATGTTAGAGATAAGGGTGTGAGAATCCAAGCCTGGCTAGCACATGAAAGTGCCAATGACCTCGCCCCACGTCCAGGATTGCTCAAGCCAGAGGAGATGGCGGTATCAATACACACATCTTCCTTCAGAGTCACAGGACTCTTCTCAGTGCTGGCTGCTGCCCTCAGATCTTAACCCCAGAACGGAGGGAAAGCGCCACGCTTGCTGAACAACCTGCTCGCAAAGTTGTCTCTGCAAACCAACTGCAGAGAAGGATTAAGGAAATTCTCTTTTATTATTCAATCTAGTGGAAGACCTTCCACCTCTTCAGATAATCTCACATGCAATTAGAGGGAGGTCAAAGTAACGGGTTCTCCGTTTTCTTCAAAATGAGACTCGTGGCTCCACTGTATTCGCTCCCATGGAATGACTGGGTAACCTTCCCTGGACCTAATAGAAAGCAGCTCCTCTGGGTCAAAATCCCTGAGTGTATTCACCTTCTTTTTTATAAAACAACTACCAGCTTGAAGCAAATACCATTTTGGATCTGTGTCCTCAGTATCTATCAGGAACGGGCTGAAAATTCTCATTTTGCATCCCTAAACAGAAGCAAGGATGTGTATCAATAGCAGTCAGTTAATTCATTGACTAGCAGATTTTGGCAGCTGTAGCCCGAGCCCTGAGGTGAGGTAGGAGGGGTAAGGGGAGCTGCTTGATGTGGATTCCTCTTTGGCCCAACTGAGGTGCAGAGAGCACTTTGCGAGAGCGAGAGGCAGGGGAACTGAGGGTGGGTACAAGCTGGGGATAGATGCTGGGTGAAGGGGCACCTAAATCCTCATGCCAGTGACACCCGGGGAAGTTCTGGAAGGAGTCCAAATCCAAGCAGCCTGGTGCTAATATAACAGGCCCAGCACGTGTCCTGCAAACCCCTGACTGAAACAAAGACCACGGGTACCTGGTTGCAGGGCAGGGGGTCACATTTCAGGTAAAGGTTTCCCCTGAGCCAGAGGGAGACCTCCAGCAGCTGTCAGTGCCCCTTGTGCTACTGTTGGGTTTCTCACCTGGCTACAGCTTTGACCAAAGTGGTTAATCCAAACCTGCAAAGGCAGCTTTGGCAAACAAAGACCCGTGAGCATGAGTAGGCAGGATTAGGTGAGGGAAAAACACAGCAAGTGGTGCCTCTCCCATAGGAAGGGGAGCTGCTTCCGACAGGTGCTGGTAGCTGTCCCAAAAGCACTAAGGAGTCCCTCCATCAGTGAACTGGCCGGCAACTTCTGCTTTTCCTTATTAGCAATGAATCAAACCCTTCATTTCCACCCAGGAAGTTCCTAAGGCATATGTTTTTCTACCGATTTCTCTGTTTTCCAAGGAACAGACGGTAAAGGTAATAAATTAGGAAAACCATTTCCTACTTCTTTTTTTTTTTTTTACCTTCCTACCAGCTTCACAATAACTGACACACAAAAAAACCACATGGGAGCCTCCTATGACTTGAGATACGAGGTTATAATAAAACATGTCTGGGTGTCTCCAAATGGTGGGCAAGACCCTTAATTCTTCCTGGAAGAAAAGGATCTTACAGTTTCTGGATCTGGCTGTCTAATGTCCTCACCCTAAATATTTCTATCTGTAACTTGTCACAGTTTCTGTAACTTTCACAGTAACAGACAGATGTGAGACACTGCCCAGCTGAGGAAACCCCCTTGGCCAGCAGCAAAAAGTCTCCCAAGAGTTCTTAGTGCCTGTTAGCCAGCTCTCTACCCAGAAGGCAGACCATGGGGCAAGTGACCAAGTGTGTTCATTTTATCAGACAAACCTATGCCTCTGAAAACAGATACCTTAACAATTCCTTTGATTTAAAATGGAATAAAAGATATGAAGTCAATAAGAAGGTTTGGGTTTACCTCAAAGCACTGCTCTGCCTGTTAGCTGAATGAGTGTGCCAGGGCAGCTTCCCTTCAGTATCACTTTGGTTCTATATGCTTTCTGGGAACAGCAGTGGTTTCTAGGCCATTCAGTATTTGCCTGCATGGTTGGCGTGTTTCCCTCCTGCTCCCCTGCACTGCTAACGCACTTTCCCTGGGAGATGGAATGTTTGCCATACCAATATAGCAACTCAATGAATGAAAGTTCAAGCAGGGCTATAAATAGAAAGGGCACCAGCTTTTCACAGTGCACATATAAGCTACTCCACACCCACTTCCTTTTGTCTGCCATTAACTCTGAGATCTGAAGCGGAATAACCTTTCTGCACTTTGGAAGAACAAACAGCAGAACAATTAAGAGACCAAACTGTTATGAGGAAGTCACTGAAGTGCAGTGTAGGAAAGACGGACAGACTATTTTAGATAGATAGATAGATAGATAGATAGATAGGCCAGAGTTGCCAAATAGTAAATTTTAGCAAGACTTACAGGAGAATGTGGGGATGGCTGAATGAAACTGTTTTGGGTGGAATTTCACTCTGCCCATCCTTCTTTATCCGTCCCTCTCCTCCATGATGTGGAGCAGTGCCAGAGTTCAGGCAATAATGGGAAAGGCACAGTGGCCCCTCCTGGTGGAAATCAGCTTCCAGGGCTGTGGGCTGCAAAGGAGGGAGAAAGATACGTGATGAGATGCAAAATAAGAAAGAAAAGCTAAACAAAAAGAAACAACTTTTTTTTTTTAAAGACAAAACCTGTTTGCTTTTCCTACCAAAGACAGAGCACACTGGCGCTATCCTAGCATTGCTTTTCCATGTAAATAAATGCCTTTTCATGTTGGCACAAGACATGTTTAAGACAACTATGGGTGGAAGGGTGGGGGTTACAAAGGCAAAAGGGGTGGGGAGGTGCTCCAGGAGGCAGTGTCAGCTCAGGACTCAAAGCTCCCAAACCCTTCCACTCCACTGCATTTTCTCATGCTTCCCCCAGACTGGAACTGGCTAGTTCTCTCGAGGAAGGCTGTTAATGTCAATAATTGACACTGAGATAAAAACCAAATAGACCGGGGAGAAAGTAGCTGAGTCACGCAAGGTTAGATTAGGTGGTAATTTACTATTTTTAGTTTTAGCTGTTGGATACCAAACAAAATCTGACTGAAAAGAAACTCTTGCCCCAAATGTAGGCTCATAAAAATGTGACAAGTTCACAGGTTGGGTTTATTATGGTTTCGGTGTGTGATATGAGAATTGCATGCACAAAGGGAACCTTTTCTCTGTTTAAGGAGGTTCTTTGGAGGTTGGCATGGCCAACACTAAGCCTGGTGGGAGTTTCCATGTGCAAGTGCAGTAATGAGTAATAGAACAAAGTATCACAACATGTTCCAATGTGTCTCGTCGCCTGCTGAGAACTCCAGAGCATTTCTGCCCAGCTGTCTGAACAGAGCTCCTGGCTGATCCTTATCGTTTCGCTCCTCACAGTAGAGGTGGCTGTACCTTTTTTTTCTCTTTAAAACTGTTGAGGAAATTAGTTGGAAATGCTGACAGAACAAATTCCTGCCTTTTCTTCTGAGCCACTGGCCAGGCCAGATATTTGCTCTCTCATCCCCTTCACCTCAGTGTGCTCTGTGCTGGGGCTGGCTGGAGAGGTGACTGCTGCTCACACTGCTGAGCGGGTCTCTCCTGCAATGCCCTGGTGCATCAGCACTTGTTATCCCTGGGTCTACATTTACCCAGTCACATGGTCACTGTCAGTCTGTTTTCTCTCCCATCTGTCTCAAAATAGCCCTAAAGGGAAGTGCCCCACATGAGAAAGGAACTTCAGTTGTGTTTAGAAAAGCGCTGCAGCGCAAAGCTGCTTATCCCAGGACTTGCACGACTGTACACAATGTGAGCAAGGGAATAATCTCACTAGGAAGATGCTGCTGCACATGAAAGCATCTGCCTGCAGCTAGATTCCATCAAAGAGCAGATCTGTGGATTGATTTTCCCAGTATGACATCTTCCATCTGCAGAGCGCTCAGAGGCTCTTTTATTGGCCCTGCTGTTGTTTGTGATTCAAGCAACATGATGAAACAGCTCACAAAAAGGCACTCAGCTCCCAAACACTGCCCCAGCAGCACAGAAAGGCCCAGGATGGGGTGGTGGCAGAAGCAGAGCCACGGTGCAGGGGCAAGGGAGGAGCACAGGAAATGCTGTGAGGACAGGCAACAGGAGCGGTGATGTCCCACGCTGGCAACTGCATTTCCCAATCTGTGTATTTATGGAAGCCCACCTCATATTCTGGGGACAAAGGCCAAGAGAAGCCCCTTGTGCCAGCACAGCTCACCTGAGCAGGGCACCAGGAGCGTCCCAGCTGCTGGCAGTGAAAGTTGGCATGTTCGGTTCCTCTTTCCATCTCTGCGCTTGAGCTCTCCACACGCTCGGGCACATGTTTGTGCAGTTTTATTTTATTTGCAATGATGTCACAGGCAACCTTTTGATGACTTGTGACCCACAGCAGGCCAGGTACCACTGGCTTATGAAACAATGAAAGGAGAAGAAAGTCACAAAGAAAACTGGAATAACAGTAATTAAATAAACTAAGCAACTAAAAGGACAGAAGTGGCACATAATTTCACAGTGAGCTGCCATGGATATTTCAGGAGGAGACAGTGAATAAGGGAGGCTTTTGGTGTACCTAAGAGATTTGGACACAGCAGAATATGTTCCCTGGGGCTGAGCACCTGAAGCCTGAATAGCCACATCAAACATTTTTGGGGCATAGCACACAGCATGTCAATTTGCCAGGGACTGGGCTCTGCCACAGGATATGCTAATAGTGCACAAGAGGTCTGAATGCATCCCTGGAGTAACCACACAAATTTACATATCCTTCTTCAGAAATGGATCTTATTAGATGGCCTGAACAATGTATTTAGCATAAGTGTGTTTTTATGTCCTCAACCTACCAGAAAGCCCTATTAGATCATTATGCTGCTGAAATGTAGTCCCTTACATGTCAGAGAGAAGCTATTCCTGGGACATTCCCTCTGCTTTTAATTGATGGGAAAGGAATATGTTGTTCCCCAAAAGCATTTCTTACTGATTCACTTTTCTTTATCATCTGATTTACAGGTCTGATCTTGACTTTTCACCACACCCAGATCTCCCATTGACTTCAAGGAGCAGGGCTCTGTGGGGGCAGTGTGAAAGTCACTCAATAAAGGTTTTCAAGAGGAAGCTGCTGAATTCATCAACACCAGAATTTACATAGATCTAAAAGATGCCAACAGGTTTGCTATGGCAGGTATGACGGGCTGTGTCAACAGAAGTGGCCTGATGCCGTGAAGAGGGGCCATGAAGAAAGGCCCATGTGTTTGCATTGCAGTGACAGTCCTTCTCACTCCCCACGGGCCGGCACGTCCAGTGCGTGCACTGCCTGCGTCAGCAGGCACTGCCGGGAGGGGAAGGAGCTCCAATAAACACCACTTGTGGCTCAGGGGGGACTGTGATGTGTACAGACACAACACTCACTGCACAGTGACACCAGAAGCCGAAGCCTCTAAGAGAAGCCAGAATGCATCGTGATTATGTCATTTTCTCCACGAAGAATTTGCCAGACACTTAGCTCATCCTCAGCTCAAATTAGAGATCTCTTGTGCGAGATGCTCCATAATCACAGAAAGCATGAGCTCCCTTTAGAGATGGACAAAACCCAGGAGTTACAAAGGGCTACACAGACCCACGGGCAATGCTGCAGCAAGGGAAAGCCTGATCTTGGAGAGACACTGGGACACACTGAGGCTTTTTCATCTGCATCCTTATTACATGGCACATCCACAGCAGAGTGGTCTTGTGTCTGCATAAACCTAATACTGCAGTGATTACTTATAAATACTGCTTCTGTAAGATTTGGAGGGGAAGAAATCTTTTCCTTCTGCTGAGGAGAAAGAGAAATTACACCCTTGAACAGCATAATTTGTATAAACTATTGTGCTTTTTATCCACAGCTCATCTGCCAAGTTCTCTTGTTTGGGAGGAGCCTGCGTGCGTTTTGATGTGCAAAGCAGGATAATGGATCACCATTATTAAAGGGCTTACAAATTGGGCAGGCAAGCCCCAGGTGAGAGGTCACTCTGACTGTACCAAAGGAAAGCTTGAGCTGAGTGAGGAAGCTTGGGTTTGACTGAGATGACAGGGAAAAGAGGTGTGCTCTGCAAGACTGCAGGTCTGTGTGTCTGCACAGAAACCAGCTACAGCTCTTGGGTTTGTTCTCAGTTTCTCACTCTGCCCTTTGTGGAGTGTACTGAACATGTGTGACAACACAGTTCCTCCCACCCCGGGCTCCTAATAAATCCAGCTGCTGAGAGAGGAATGGGAAAAAAGCTCCTCATCCTGTGGGGCTGGGGTGGGGTAAGGAGCAGGAGGGAAGCTGTCTGAATGACATGGGAAGCTTGAGCTGTCCTTCCCAGAGGGTGAAGTCCTGGGATGGGGATGGAGCCACAGCTTCATTTGTTCCAGAGAAACAGCCCTACACAGACGGCTGGTTGCCCTGGGTGTTTGGCTGAAGGGTCACATCATAATAACAGCGACGATACTTGTTTAAAGTAGGACAAGTGTTGCAGCTGAAAGGGATGCCGGCCCTTAGGAAAAAAAATCCACCGTTGTGCCAGGGCAGGCAGGCAGAGCTAATAAACAAGACTGAGGTGTCAGCTTACCTGCTTGGAGCCTATTGCTGCTCCCCAGTGCTCAGGCTGACATTGTCACCAGTATCAGGGGTGGAAAACACAGGCTTCAGCCACAAGAGAGAAGTCTCATGAAACAAAATTGGAAAGAGGAATCAACAATTTGGGTTTCCTAGAAGGCTAGGGAGGGCCTTAATCCAGCAATTCCCAGAAAATGGTCTGCAGTGTCACTGGCTATGGTGACAGCACTCTCATCTCAGAGCAATCCTTGCCTTTTGCAGCTGAAAATCCTGCAATTATATGAGATTGTCACCTTCCATTTTAAAGAAAGAAAGGAAAAAGAACCACCTTTGTAGCCCACAGGGTTACAGAAAGATATTGAAATGGTTGACCCCTGAATTCTGAAGGCTGATTAGCAAACAAATGCAGTTCAAAATACGTAGGCTAAAATACTGTGTCATATCAAGTTTACACCAATTCTAGGAGCTTTTTGAGGGCTCTACTTGTAATTTCTGAGTGTGAGGGTTTAGTTACACCGTGCTGTATAACAGCTATGCTTGTTGTCCTAAAAATTCCCTATCAAATACACTTCATTTACAAGCAAAGAAATGCAAATCTAACTCCTGACTCCTTGCTCTTTGGCCCCAGCCATGCTCTGGCAGCAGTAGTCTAGACAGGACAATTTGGGATGGCAGCCTTACTTAAGGCCTCTGGAGGAGCCTCAGGTACACATAAGCTTTCAAGCTTTTGTGTTCAGCCCTACCTTAACCCAAACCAGAGAGGCTTCATTTAGTTTTTAACTCCTTCCCTTCATGGCCCTCACACAGATGTCTTCCTAGAACAGAATACTCTCCACCCCTACACATCACTGTTCTCCAAACTGCCAAAAGCTTTGCCTATTTTTCCTTTACATTTCATCAGACTGTGGCAGTGAAGACCCTCCTCAAACTCTCCAGCCTGGATGCAGCACAAGTCTTCCTCCTCCTCCAGAGTGTCCTG